CGCCTGCTGACTCAATAAATGTTTACATTTAGAACTGCTCAGATGGAACAGCAGTGCCATCTAGTGATCGTGACATTTTTGGACCTGTTTTTCTACTAGGCAGTTTCACCTCCTTCATATACTCTGCGCTGACATATAATAAAAAAGAGGACCAAAATTTATGGTTGCACATTATATACCAGGTATAAAAATAATGACTTAAAACTATGGAAAAAATTGGATTTTTACTTGCATGGAAATGCTACTTATTTAAAAGAAACGACATACCTTATAAAATTAAACATTTTTATTACTGGATAACATGAAGATTTTGTGATGTTCATCTTCCATATATCTTCATGCATAAATATTGAGTTTATTTTCATCTTCACCATCATTGTTATTTTGATCCATAAATAAATAATCATTATCCATTCCATCTTTCACCAACACCAAACATCCTTGCTGCAGCATGATTTCCATTTCGTAAAATGAATGGCTTTGCATTTGAAACCAGCATTGTGTTTGTTTCTTTTTATGGGAGCCTTATTTACTGTTAAAAAGAGCACTAGATCAACTGTATTTCAACTAAAGTGAATGTGATTTACTAAAGCTTTCGATTTTACTTCAAAATCACGGCGTCAAATGACTGCAGAAAGAGAAAACTTGCAACTCCTAATTCCACAAATTCATTCGGGTTGGAAGTGCTCTGCAATAGCATTATTTTGGACATTTGCACTGAATACAATCCACCTTCTTTACTGGAGTATTTGGCCCACCAGCAGCCGAGCAGTAAAGTTGCTGAACACTGGTAGTTCGGTCCAAGGTTCGAATCCCGCGGACGGCCTGGCTGCATGGACGTTTTCGTGGTTTTCCCCATATGTAACGTGTATATGAGCCAGTTTTCCTTAGAAAGTCCTCCACGAAGGCATCCCTCCGGTTAGGCAGATAGCCCTCGAGGCTTTACCATAATCACACACAAACACAATTCCTGGAATATTTACTTCCTCAAGCATTTAACCCACGCACATATTGTTCCCCTTATTGCTTGTCAGTGCAGTTTTACCATTGTTCGAAAGGCTAGGACGAATCTTTGAATAAGTGGTCTCAAAAGATAAGAGCATTGCACATGTATCTTTCAGGTTTTTTTCGTTAAGAATTACGTGTGCGTTATATGGTGAATATACCTAAAAATTAGAAAAAAAAAATTTTCAGTTCATTCTGACCAATGTTGTTATTTTACAACCAGAACTTCTAGTTTTAAAACCAGAACTTTAATGACTCTGCACTTTAAAATCACTTCCCATATTTACGTGTGTGGTGTATTGTATTTTAACAAAAGTTCGTTACCACTAAATGCAGTATATTAGTGTGTGGATATGCTCATTAAATGCCTGTATAAAACAATGGTTAATCTATGACAGATGATGATTGTATGGTGTGGAGCACCTTTTTATACGTTCTAATTTTAAAGAATGCTGATCTCATCTTTTTTTAAATTCATAATTTTATGTATATAAACATACTTTTGAACTATTCTCATGTACAACTGTTTACAAAAATGTGTAACATGAGCCAGGTTCCCTTAGAAAGTCCTCCAAGAAGGCATCTCTTTGCTTAGGCAGATAGCCCTCGAGGCTTTGCTGTAATCACATAAACCAAACCAACCTTGCGCCACCTTCTTAAAATAGATGTATTTCTAAGGATATTTCTAAACATTCTTACAAAAAAATAGAATTTTTAATCAAAATTTCTCAAGAAAAATGTGAATTTATAAATTGAAGGGTATTGAAAAGTTTGCTGTATTTATTAAAAGTGTGATAACACCAAATATGGTTTACACACTTTCTTAAAATTATTTGAAAAAATGAATGATACACCTTCTTTCCACTCATGCTCAATGAAAGGGAAAGAAAAATAGGTTACGATAAATTAAGAGTTTTGCTATGTGAATTATTCTTGGTGCAAACTGAAAAAAGTGCAATAAGATAAATTAAAAAAAATTATTGTTAAGTTTTGCACCAAATTTTACCAAATTCCATATTTAAACATAATTTGAGTCATAGAATCGAAATATGGGGAAAAATCAGTATGCCATTTCAGAAAAAGTCCAATTTTATATCAAAATACATATGTTAGAGCAATGCTGTATACAAATCTGGTATATAATGTAAGTTGCGCTTTCAAGACATGAATAAATTTGCCATGACAATTTTGTCAATTGGCTCAGTGGAATGGGAGATACAGAACTGACCTCCCCCTCCCCCTTTTTTGTGTGTGTTTACATGTTGTACATATATATATATGGAATGTTAAATAATATTTGATTTATTTAGTATTCATAGACATCATTGACTGGCAAAATTTATCTGTTTCTGAAAATCAAATAATACCTGTTGTGTGTGCTTTCATTTTAAATGTTACACTTTTATACAAGATAAAGGTCTGGAAATTACTTTCTCAGTTTTCTGCATAGTTGCTTTTAAATTAATGCATTTAGAAAGCTGTTAAGCATCGGATTCTAGTAGGAAAAGGAGTATTTTGACATAACCTCCAAACTTTTTCTGAACAGTATCCTTCAAATCATCATTGTCATTGTAGCATGAATCAAACAGATGCTACTTTGTGTTTTAAAATAAAGAGAAATCACTCGATGCCAAGTCTGATTAATATAATGGGGGAGAAACAAAATCAATGTTTGTTGAACAAATCTCGGAAATCTGATCTGTGTATACTAAAACATTATTGAGCAAAAGCAACACTTTTTAACTAAGTTTGTCATAGTGTTTTACCTTCGTGTAAGGCTTTTTGGGAGTTGAATCAACATTTAGCATTATGAACAACTTTTGTTTTGCTATTATTTTGTATCTAATCAGTAAACAATGGTCTCTCTTAATTTCAGAAAATGGTGTCTAAATTTTTTTTCTGTCATATTTCTGGGCTCTGGGTGTATGAGGTTGGGTAGATCTGTTGTATGTCCTCATCATGCTTTCTCATTTCATTTTTGAGTCATAGTAATGAAGCAATGTTCCATCTCTTAACTACATTTTAGCCAGTGGCAGATTGATGAAATGGGACCCATCTCATTTGAACATATTACCACAAATTGCAACCATGCATTTATGAATATAAATTAGTTCTGTCTTTTCTTTTATCAAGATATCAGTCACTGTTTTATGCATAATATTTGTTGTATTAATAGATATCACTGATTGGAAAAATTTAACAGCTTCTTAAAAATCAAATAACAACACTTACTATGTGTGGTTTCCTTTTTATACTTCCAAAGGATGATGCAGTCATTTCACTATGTTTTTAACATCCCACAAGCATTACATCATACATATGCATAGACTATCATAAATCACTTCAGTACAGTGAACTGTCTCTAAGGAGACCATGTGAGGTACCAGAAGATTTAGTTCTTCTGTGTTGATCAAAGATGATATTCAATGTTAACATTATGTTCTCCTAAGTATTGATCACTTTTTGAGGTAATAATGTTAAGGAAGTAATTGCCACTAGAAGTTTTCTTGTATTTATCTCACTGTTTTTTCTATTTCCTTTATACTTTATGAGTTTAATGAAAGATATTTCCTTTATACTCAATGAGTATAATGAAAAACTTATGTCATTTTTATATCATTTGTCTGTAGTGTGTAATCTAAGTGCAAATCTTCAACTATTTCATGTTCATGGAGCATCATTGCTCTTTTAACAGTGAGCTACGACATAAAATTTTGTTGTTTCTTTTCCTTCTCATACATATTTTCCATTGCATTACAGTTTACATTTAACCCCTTCACGCCGACTGTCACGTCCATGTGCCAGCAACCAACACACTCACCTCCCGGCCGATGCGCAGGCGTGCCAGAGCATTTTCCCGTTCACTACCGACTGTCACGTATGTGTGCCAGTGTCCTAGAATGTTTGAAAAACTATAATTTCTGCCACAAGACGGCACTGTATGTCCATATGGTTTCAGATACATGTACATTAGACCACCTACTCGAAATGAGAGAAGCATGACTCACATCCACGTGTTTTTGATTATATAAACAAATGGGGAAATAAATGTTTCCGAATGGCGTGATTTATGACGTCTCTTTAAATCGCACTTTTATTCGCACGTGGTAGTTGTTTACTGTAAGTAGAGAAGTTTTATTTGCGCTAAAGCATTGGGTGTTTCGGTTTGCAGTTCAGTTTTTAGAAAATAATTAGATCTTGTTAGACGTGAATTCTTTCTGTTTTTACTGTTGCAATGTCGAAGCGTTGAAAATGTTTAACAGAGCATGAAATAGCAGAAATGATGCGAAATATTTCAGATATTGATTCTGAAATTCTGATATTTATTCTGAAAGATTAACTGAAAGACATTTTCCAAAACTTTGTTGAGAAGAGACTGATAAGAAAATGAGACAATGATGCTTCGTTTGTTCACATTCCCGGAAAAATCCTCCAAAACGGCAAATGAGTTATTACGAGTGCAAGGAATATAACGTAGGACTGTGTGTAGATCCCTGTTTTCAAATTTTTCATACGAAAAGAGAATTTTAAGTAATATATTTAGTTTTCAGATGTATAATGTTAAAAGTTATAAAATGGTGAGTAATGAAAATAAAATGTGTAAAATATGCATTTAAACAAGAAATAAGGTAATTAAAGTATATAGTATAAAAATATCTATAAAGCATAAGCCGTTTAAATACTCTATAGAGCATTATTAAACAATGCATTGATACTTCGGAAATTTCCTGGATTTAGGCTTAGTAGCAAAAAAGCCCCCGGCCCTGGACAGACGCTCGCATAAGACACTGCCGTCCTCCGCGATAAGCGTGCGTTTGCGCTACCCGGTACGAAGGTGTTAAGCCTTTTCATTTCTTACATTAAAATTTTGAATTAAAATGTGACTATTGTAGATATATATCTTATTCTTCACTATGTTTATATTTTAAGAGCTGTAGTAGAATTATTAACTTAACTGTTCATTTTTGTTATTTTTTATTTTATATTATTTTTAGATATGCATGGACTATAGCAGAATGTGAGCATTGTCATTGTCATATGGGATGGAAATTTACAGCTGTAGATAAAAGTTTGAAGCCAAGTAAATTTTGGGCACTTTGCAGATCAGCCACTCGATTAATCGATTCTGAAGAGTCAGCAAATTTCTTAGCTGTCTGATAAGCTAAATGTGTTGTCATCTTGTTAAATGATGACAGTGTAATATGGTAATATGATGCTAGTGTAATATGACATTATTTATTATTTGAGCATATCTTATAGATATTACATGGACAGTGAAACAACAAATTTTATATCTTTAAATTTGCTGCTGTATCTTACGTACATACTATGCTGTCTAACTTTTGTCCTAATAATAGTTTTCCTGTGATATTATTAATGTAGATTATGTAACTTTGGTATAATTTTAGAATCACTGTATAAAATAAATTACACAACGCACCACAAAAACTGGGAAAAATAAGTTAATAAATAAATAAGAGACATATAAAAATAGCGATTTTATTTAACAAATTATAACCGTTGTATTGTTAAGTTGCAAGTCCTTCCAGTCGTTAAATTCCTTTCTTCTTTTCCCCTTTATTTATCATAATTGTTATTGCTTATAAGTGAGGTAAATTGATATTTTCACAGTGTTCCTCTTAATCATCAGTAAGTATGCATACTTTTGCTTTGGTGACGAACAGCAGTGTTAAGTATGTGGTTTATGCATGTTGAGTGTATTGAAGATGCTAGCTTCTAATGCAGTTGTAAAATTGTTATGTATATATATTTGTAAGTTCCATTTTTATTTGAAATTGTATTAATGTACAATATGGAGAATTGAATATTATTATTTGCATCAGAATAAGTTCTTTTATTATTGTTTATATTGAAACTGCTTAGATGTTCTTTGACATTTCGGTTGTATTATTTCTGAAGTACCCACTATTAAAATCATAGGTAAATTATAATTTTTTTGTATTGTATCTCTAATCAGAAACTATTTTTTTTTTAATTGTTAGGTCTTATTTCCTCAAAATAACTATATAATTTATTTTATTTGCTTCACTGATTTGTTTGTATTTTAACATCTTAACAATATACATTAGTAAAGAAAAAAAGGATGAAAATATTCGTAAAAGCAGAAATATTTTTTTAGTACTGTTTTATCATTGATAACAGTATGCTGTACAAATTGTCTTCTTAATTTAATCTAGTATATAGCAGGTATGTAATATTTTTTGAAGATTGAATTTCTTGGCTATGGGGAAGATCTGGAAAATAGAAATATTATTTTCATAAACTGTGGATGTCCTTTTCATAATGTATGAGCATTTCAATTAAAAAAATAATAAGGTTTTTATAATGAAATTATTTCCAGGAGAGAATTGAAATTGCAATCCAATCTCTCATAAAATGATAACCAATTTATTTCAGATATTTTATGATAACAGAAGTGTTACTTATTTAACTTCATCTACATCTGAGAGGTTCTTAAAAAGAAATAGTGCATTTCTGTTATACTTTATGAGGAACTCCATTGTACTTTTTGAGTGAAATTCCATTATATTATTTCTATTATACTTTTTTAAATGAATGGAGTAAGAATTAGAATGATAGATCGAGAGTATTATTTATTATTTAGGTAATCTGCTTTTTTCATTGTCTGCCTCATTTCTAGCCTTGAAACTTCTTTGATTATCGTACTTCCATTTTCATCAATACTTTTTTGGACAATAAGAGAATATTTCAGAGAAATTAATCATTTTATATGCTATGATATTAAATTTGCACAAAGAAAAGGAAATTTTATTAAAGATATTAAAAGCTTTTTTAATATCACATCTCCATATACCACAGCATCTGTGCCTTGTAGCATTAATGTATTATTGTGCAAGTCCTTGCATATTTTAACTTGCATTTATTAATTACAATAGTTTATTTTTCAAAGGATTATATAAATATTTAATGAAATAATTATATTTGCTCAAATATCAGAATTACATCGTGAAATATCTGGAAGAGAAACTATTTTTATTTGCTGACTTTTGCCAGAAACTTTAGAATATATGCCTAATTAAAATTTCAGTTATAAGTTTTAAATTCTCATTCTGTTTGTTTTTAGCTGCTTAGGATTTTTATGGATTTATGCAAGTATATCATTTTTATGCAGAATGAAACCTTGTGTAACTAATTTCTGCTTAATTGCAGGCTAGATTTATGAATAGAGAAAGATAAAATTGAATCCCAAAATTAAAAAGTAATTGTATCTAATTTTTTTAAATATTTTTTTTCACCTTTTAGAAGTAAGGGCATGTTTTATGTTTAAAAACAGTGATCACAATATAGCATATCCAAAAATAGTGAGTTGTGAAATCTCTGCCTGTGAGATGACTTTCATATATACTCAGAGGTGATATTAAGTACCATAATTTTGGGTAAGTAAGTCACCCTGGCATAACATGTGCATAACTAACTGAAAATATTAAAGTTCATTGGATAAGCTGCAATGCTGTATACACTGGAGCAAAGCATTTCAAATTGATAGTAAGAAATTCAGTAATTTCTTTGCTGAATACTATTCATTTTTTCAGTAATTCCTTTCCATGCTGATGTGATCACCATTTATAACATTTACAACTTAAGTTTAAAAATTAATATATAAATAAATAAAAAATAAACAATCACCTTACGTTTAACTTGCTAAAAACGAAATCTGCTGGTTTCTATAGACTTGCTATAATGTTAAATTTATATTTATTTTAGCAGTTTGAGTAATTTTTGTTTATCACCATAAATTACCATATTATGAAAAACGAATACATAAATTAGATAATTGAACTGAATTATATATTCAAATAAACTACATTTATTTATACAAAACCTTCAAAATCCAACTCATCAATATCAGAATTGAATAAACAAATGACCTTCAAGATCACTTCTTTCAACTTCGCTGTTGCAATTTAATGAAAGCTGATATGACAGTATGAGCTTGTACTGATTGCCATGCTTTATTGACCCATGTGAAGCATTTCTCATCTGTTTGGAATTTGTGAACACTTCTATTGCTTTCATAGTTTTTGTTTGAAAATTCTAATGATGAAGAGATCCAATGACTGTAAAAGTTTTGCAGTCTCACATAGTATAACTGAGAATCATACTAAGTTTTTTTGCTACGGATTTTAAAGTATCCCTTAAATGGGATCTCATTAAAATCCAGAATGATGAGTCCCCGAGCTTGGAGAAAAGCACTTTTCCTTTTCTGATAAATTTCTTTCAGCCAAAAGCAACATCATTTTTTCTTACATCCATTCTGCTTTTTTGTTGGTGCAAATAGTGGCACTTTTAGAGATGTTTCCTTTCAGAATTGGTTTTCTTTTGAAAATTATTGAAGGGTTTAATCTCACTCCATTGGTGGCACAAACCAAAATAAAGGTTAAAAGATGTCTTTCCATATCTGGTTGTTAACACAGAAATAGTTTATTCACCTTTTGAATGAACAGTTCTGCTCAGAGCACAGTTAAAAGTAATGGGCATTTCACACCTATTAATTATATGCCATCTATTCAAATTTTGTTCTTTAATTTTCTTAGGTGTGTACTTTTAAAAAGTATATTTTTTCAAGCCTGTCTTTGGGAAGCTTTTGTCCAAATTTTCTTTTGGCTCTGATGAATAATTTCTTTCATTTCATAAATCTGAAACAAAAATCAGTTCTATCGACAAAGCTTTTAATGCCTATTTGTCAACCAACTACTTTTGCTTGAAGGTGAATTCTAACTTTTGACATGGATAGTCCCTTTTCTCTCTGCTCTGTTGTCCATTTCTCTAAATTGTCTTTCTAAGCTATGACACCAGCTCGGCAGGATCTTTTATTCTTAGGCTTTGATATTTTGATATCTGTTAATATACTTACTGGCTTTCAGCTGGAGATGGCTAACCTAACTCTTACCAGTTCTGCAGAAAATCTATTATTTGGAACTGACATAGTAAGTCCACAAAAAAATGTCTCCATATGAGAAATCTGTAGAGAGAAGAAAATTTGAAGCATGTTGCTCCTGTATGTAAATGCCTTACTGAAGTGTCGGGAGGAAAGGTGAAGCAAAGAACATGTATGTAAAGTCCCAATCGCATTATGTTTCGGCTATGCGGGACTTGACGTCAAAAGGGACAATTCTCAGAACTTTCACAATTCCAGGAAACTCATGTAGCTATGTTACCGTTTTCACTTACTACAAAGACTTGAATGCCAAACATTAATCAATTATCGCTCAGATTGGGCTCACGTGAGGCTTCAGAAGCAGAACTTTCATCTGATTGGTTGTCTCTACCCGGGACTAAGGTCCAGCCGAGACATTTTCGGTTAGGTTTGAAAAAATCCTGTGTAGCCGCAACATTGTTTCTGTAGCTAGGCAGGGCTTCACTTAAGGTGGGGCTCTTTTTTCTAGGAATCCTCCCGTTTAAACCAGTGCTACCGCAAACTTGTTTCTCAGAAAAGTCCCGTCTAGTAGGGACTGTAGCCATGTGTGATAACCTCTTAAGAAAACTTCCATAGACGTAATGTGAACCAGTTAGCTACTGCACTGCTAAATCATGGAAGGACTAATTCTTGTCGCTAAATCGCCAGGTGTACGGGAAATTGAGAATATGGTATAAAGAGCTCGATTCATTATTTGACATATATTTTTTACAGTGATTTAAACTCGAATTTTCTTTTTGGGTGAAGTTTGTTCAGTGGCCATGTGATCATTTTGATGAATCCAGAGAAAAATAGAGAGTGGCGCTAATCAACTAAGTTAACAAACTATTTCTTGAGATGATTCTTCTATTTCTTGATTACAACAAATGCATGATATAATATAGAAAGGAAAGTAACAGACATAATTTAACACTAAATACCGTAGGAATCTGTTTTTATAAGAACAAAATCAAGTAGTCGATTGCAGGCTGCCGGTAGCCAGGAACTGCTTGGCTTATCAGCATGCAGTTGCAAAATACAGAGTACACAAATGCAAAATTCATTACAAAAGTAGAAAAAAAATACTTACAAAATATGTACTATGACCCCTCAAAATGTTTGTAAAAAAATAAGTTCCATGTAGAGTCATGGAAGAGTCACACAGGGGCATGCAATTTAAGTAACAAAATTTCATCTTCAGAGAATTATCACCATGCAGTTGTCCTGTACTCTCACTGGCTGGCTTGTTCAGCTTGTTGCTGGCCAGAATGTGGCAGATGAGCAGTAAATGGTTGGATAATCTTATTCTCTCCAAGACCTTGTATGCCAAGATATCTGTAAAATTGCTGGGCTTATTACTTAAGCTTTTATTACAGAATTTTTCATTTAACTTCGCGATCTTAATCAATTCCATTTTCAGATCCGAATATAAGCTCCTATTTCTGATGAAATAAGGAGCATCTGTGATTATCTGAAAGACCTTGTTTTGCAGGTCCTAGAGTTTTTGTAATCTCTTCGCTGGCATTTTTTTTTAGGCAAAAGACGTGTTCGTAATAATTGGCTGGACAACTGAGATGTAGTTTTTCTCTTTAAATTTAGAGAGGTATTCTCAATTATACTTAGACACTTTCTCTAATTATTCTTCTTCGAACTTCTGCCAAAAGCAAATCTCATAAACTTGAAGTTCTCTAACAGCAGCACAATTTCCAATTTCTGTTGCTTTCTTCATTGTGGAATGCTTCAAAGCAGCTGTATAATGTTTTCTTCAAATAGGAGCCATAAAAACAACAATAATAATTTTAAAAATTCAACGAGCATGAACAATAAAGTAAGCAAGCCACAAAGCAGTGAGAAATGTATAAGAACTTGGTGAACTGGCCACAGAACTTTGCGAAGCGGTCCTTTAAAAGGGGGGATGGTCATAGGAAAATTCAGACAAAGCCACAGAGTTTTCCAGAAAGTACATCAGTTATGGTGTCTTTATACTAAGTGCCACCTCCCGTAGGTAGGTGAATTTCATGTAAGCTCGAATTTGTTGCACTGCCTTAGCACAACCTGAGTGCTCATATCGGGCTAAAATGTTGCAGCAAATTCTACATTAACCATTTCACTTGTGCATACCTTACACTATAAACTAGGAATTTTAAAGATAGAGGAAAAATAAAATTCCTTCAGGTATGCTTCCCTGGCAGATACACGGCAGGCCTAAATTTTCATCTTTTAAATGCCTATAAGCCGTGACTTTGCAGGGTATCAAAGTAGAGCGTAATGGGTTTAGGGGAAGATGGGTAGAAAATTGGTCGGGTATTTTACCATTAAATTTATTAATTATGTAAGAAGTTATTGGTAAGTGGATAAGGCATCCATAACACTCTGTCTTGCATTTGAACTCCTGTCAAAATTTGCATCATTTTCAATAAATTGGTCCATAATTTCTGTTATAGTATTCAAAATGGTTTTTAGAAACACTGTTGAAAGTTCTTTTTGCGCTTCTTCAGAATCACTACTTTCAATATTTTTGTGTTCTTGGTCCGCTAATTTCTTGAGCTCATCATTAGAAAGACTTGCTGCTGTTTATTGCACACTTTCATCGACATCTTCCACGTTTACCTCATCTAAACCTGTTTTGCTAATTTCACTATTTCTTCCACAATTTCATTCATATTGACAGATTGTCCAATGTCACTGCCCTTGCTTAGATCTGACCAACTGTTCTTCCAAACTCCTTTCAAACATTTTTTAGTTACCTCATTCTAAGAAAGGTTTATATTTTCTACAACATTCATGATACTGTAGTTTTTCCAAAACTCTCTTATTGATTGTTTCTCTTCTCCATCTGTTTTTTCAAACATCTGTCTAAATTTTCAAGTAATAAGCCTTAAAATTTGATATAACGCCTTGATCCATTAGTTGGATTAAGGCAGTTGTGTTAGGCGGCAAGAAAACCACTTTGACTGTAATGCATATTATTAAGTCAGATAAATTCGTTGGATGGCTGGAGCATTATCAATTAAAAGTAGTGCTCTTGATTCAAGTTTTTTAATTTTGTGATAGCGTTTAACAGACGAGCAAAAATAAATTCCAATTCTGGAAAATTTTCATAGTTATCCATGATTTTTCATTAGACTCCCAAATTACAGGTAAAGTTGATTTGGATATTTCTTTCATCACTCTTGGGTTTTTGGAATGATAAACAAGTAGTGGTTTTAATTTGAAATCTCCGCTTGCATTACCACCCAGTAGAAGTGTTAAGTGATCTTTTGCAGCTTTAAATCCTGGTGCATGTTTTTCTTCACGAGATAGAAATGTTTCCAAAATAGGCCTGTTTCATCAACATTAAAAACCAATTCTGGAGGGTAGTTTCCTTGTTCAATTATTGTTTTTAATGTCGCTGGGAATTCAGCCGATGCTTTCATATCACCACTTGCTGCTTCTCCTGTAATCTATATGTTATGAAGATTATTTTGAGGTTTAAATCTATTAAATCATCCTCGACTTGTAACTTGTGTTACTTGCCTCAACCTTAATGTAATTAAAAATTCTTGCTTTTTCCATTATAATAGATTGGTTTAGTGGCATATTGAATTCAATTTTATTGTCAATCCTTATATAGAAAGTCGTAACCATTTCCTGTATTGTATTATTTCTAGAACGGCAATTCTTGTAGTTGCAGTTGCCGATGACAGTATTTTTTCTTTATTCTTAAGAATAGTCCTTATTGTTGAAGTTTTCAAATTCAATGCAGCACCAATTTGAGATTGACATTCACCATTATCTAATCTTCTAATCACTTGCAGTTTCTAGTGAAATGCTTTTTCTTGTTGCTTTATTTTCGTGTTTTTTATTATCACCCATGATAAAACCTAAGAATCATAATATTTGTCAGTATATCAATCATTATATTATATAAATTTATACTTACAATAATGTCAACAAATGTGCGAAACGATAAAAATACGTTCGTATAACACTGCAGGAAAGAAGAAACACAGATAAACTGCTTCAAATATCGGGATGCCTAACGCTGTGTGCAATTTTGGGGAATCCCACAATTCAAATAAAAGAGTGTTAAACCAAAACAGCGTTAAGCAGGGTCTTACTGTATTTAATACTTCTTGTTGAATAGGAGCACCATATAATGTTCATTGGCATTGTTAGATATGAGATAACTATTTATTTTAAATAATATAATTACCGTATGCACTCACAGTAATGTCTGCACTTACTAAATTACATCACTAAATTACATCACTGTTTTACTAAAATTACATCACTAAAATGCAGGTGCTAACATTAAATGGGTCGTTCAAATGTTGCGCTTTTTCTCGTGAGTAATTTTGAGTGTAAATTTTATTTCAAACAGCCAAGTTAAGTTCTAAGTGGGAGAAAATGGCATAACTAATAAAAATATCAAATTTGAGTTGTCTAATATCTACCTAAAATTTACAAACTCATTTTCTCCCATCTACATATATAACATAAATTACTCCTTTACGTTATCAACACTCGGCACATATTAATTCGCACAGGAGCACAATATAGAGGCACAAATTAACTAACACTTGCAATTTTAATATTTACTTTTACACAAATTAAATAAGCTTTGGTTCCTTTAATATCTTGCACACAGTATTTTTAAAAAATTTGTTCTGACTTGCTGTATGAAAATCCATTTCATTTCATCATTCGCCACAACCAGCCTTCGCTTCCCTTGAATTGCAATGTAGGAATGTTTCTTCTCATGCCTCAGGAAATACTGTTTTGTAATAAAATTACTTCCCTCCTTCTTCTTTGGAGCATTTGCATATTTCAAGCTTTCTCTTTTCATTTATAGTATCATTGGAATTTGTGGTAGTTAACAAGTAGCGTGCTTGGAATTGGAAAATATAGAAGCTATACAGCGGCTTTTAAACTAAAAGTCGTAGAATTTTCACAGGAAAATAGAAAAGAGCAGCAGCAAGAGTATATATAAGGTGAACAAAAAGTTTGTATGCAACTGGAGCAAACAGCATGATTAACTGGTGGCAATGAACAAAGCAAAAACGTACGTTTCATGGTTCGAAATGTAAGTTTTTGAACTTGGGGGGGGGGAAAAACGTGGTAACGTATGTTCATGATATGCATGCTCAAGGGTATGCAGTAACACAGGAAATGGGAAGAGTGCTTGCTCAGGCTGCTAGCTGCTATATTTTCCACTGTATAGCTGCTATATTTTCCCATTTCAAGCACGCTACTTTCTAACTACCACAAATTCCAAATGATACTATAAATGAAAAGAGAAAGCTTGAAATATGCAAATGTCCAAGGAGGAAGGAGGGGAAGTAATTTCATTATAAAACAGTATTTTCTGGAAGCCAGTGTGGTGAAAACATGTTTGGACTGCCTTCATTTGTTATTGCTTCTACTGAGTGGATTGCTGGTGCTGATGTTATGACTGAATAAAAGCTGCAGCAGAATGCAAGGAAAGTCTCTGCTTTCCATCCTGGCACCAACCAAAGACAAAACAAATGCATATTCTTTCTTTAAAGGTGTTTATTGACTAATGTTATTGACTGAAAGGAAAAAGGCGATGTTAAAAAAAATATGTATATATATATTTTAAAGTAAGAAATTCTTTATTTTTTGGGGTGTGAACATTGTGCGGGTCACTTTTTTTTACATAAATTTTATCTGTAAATTTGAGGTGCGGCTATTACACGAGCATATACGGTATTGAAACATATTGGAAAATGTTATATAATATGTAAATTTACCATAATACTTACTTTTGCTTATATTCATGTTTGGATTATAGTGTTAATGTAGTTCCCATAAGGCTGAGCACATATTAATTTGGATAAACAGCTCTACTGTCACAGTAAAGGTTTGTAAATATGCATTTTTATACACTAGCACGTTTAAGTAAGAATTTTAATAAATCCAATTTAAAGATAAATTTCAGTATCTACCCCTCTTTTTTGTATTTTTCTGTGCGTACATGTGTGCAGTCTCCAGATGCGAGTGTTTTTCAAAATATGTAAATATGTTGTGATTGGATATATAATGTGGTAATATATAGGTATGGTATAATTGGATAAAATGTCTATTAGAATAAATAAAATTATTGGCATATTTTTGTAATATTGAATTGACTCTTCGTTTCTCTGTTGGCTAAAATTGACTGTGAGGGATATATATACATATAGCTGTAGATGCATGTGATGCACTGAAGTTGAAGCTTATCATACTTACTGTTCTCAACCAAACAATGTATGCATATAGCCTTTTTATACACATTGTGAATATTAGATGGGGCTTATATACTATCCTTATGAAGCTATTGCGTAGCATCTGAAACTGAAAAGTTCATTAATTATTTTTTCATTTGTAGTGCTGTATAAAGTTCTCTATGAAAATATTTCAATTCCCCCCCTTTTTTTTAGTGTCATTTCAAAAGCCCATACAGTTTGTAATCAGATAGATAAACTTAACAGTAAATATTAAGCATAATTTAGAATACGTTAAATATTAAGTAACAATGTATATAACAGTAAATAGGAAGCATAGTTTTTTAGTTCATAAATGAGTGTAAGGTTAACATGAATACTATGTATATATCTGGAGGACATATATATTACCATATTTCATGTAATATGAAAGCAGTGTCTGTTGCTTTTATAACCTGTAAAAATTCAATTTTATAACATGGTTCTGTGTTAAGATAACTAAGATAGACCGAAATTATGGTTTTTTTATTATTATTAATTATGGTTCTGTGTATTAGTTAATTGATTATGACAAAGCACATGAAATATCTGACTTTAAAAAGGGGATGCTCTTGTTTGAATGAGAGCTGACTAAACAGGAGAAATAAGGGCTTTCTTAAAGAGAAATTGGATCATATTCAGTTTACTCTTAAAAATTTTGTGTAGTTTCTTACTTACTAGAAGTTGAACCTGGAATGAATTACTACTCTTCAGCAATCAGCTGTTGGTAGGTTAATTATGTATGTATCTGATTATTTTTTTTAAATAAATTTTGGTTTAGAACTTGAGATCATTTTACAGTGTATTAATAGTTGCCTATTTCTTTTGTTGTGACTGTTGTTATAATGCCAATAATAAAAATATGTTGCAATAAAGGCCACATAAAATTGTATTAAATAATATTTTACTGTTCATATTCAGTACAGAGTGCACTAATATATTTTTAAATAATGATAATTATGCTGTTTTTTTCCTAATTTTTTTTTTGTTGTTATTGGGGAAATGCTTATTAATGCTGAGATATCTATTGCAAAATGTTGCATATGTATGAATTGCATTAAGTTGGCTTTCCTAATGTAAGTTTGTAAATAACAAATTTGTGCCTGATATCTGTTGAAGCCCCCATGTGATAGTTTCAGCCTCTGCAATATTTAAAGTAGACATATATGACTAAAAGCAACAGTTGTAACTATCAAATCATTTTGTTTTGAATGATCAGGATTAAAATATAAATTTTATAAACTCCCTTTCATGCAACCACTTTTATAAGAAAAAAGCATTTCCGAGAACATAAGTAAAATATGGTGCTGAACTTCATTTGTCTAAGATGGTCACCTTCACAAGTAATCAAAATCATGTGGAACTTTAATTATCTTCGAGAGGTCACTATATAGCAGTCATTATTTAGTGTATATATTACAGTTTATTTAAAATCATGCTTTGTGATGACCATTGATGGGTTTTACATATTTAGTATTCTGTGGAGGTGGTTATTTTCAATATATCCTCAGAGATATTGGTTATCTTCACAATTGGTCTTCTTAGGCAAATGACTATCATGAGAGATTTCACTGTACAGCAATACCTCATGTAGTCTTGGTAATTAGTTCTGCAATATTAACCTGTTTAAAACCAAATTTACCAAGGAACTAAATTCATACAAAAATTAATTGGTTCCAAAAATTTTTTTCGTCTTGTTTTTCAAAAAATGAAACATGATTAATGAATCCAGCTGTTTTTGTTATGAATAATTTTTAAAAATGAATGAATTATGATTTAAAAATTACAATATCGATGTTAGCACAGTTTTCTTCTTTGGCCTTTGTATTTTTTTTAGAGTAATGAACTGCATTGTTTGGTAAATTGTAAATCTATATTCAGTATTGAGATTAACTTTCATATGTTTGGACAAGCTGTTTAACCGTTTCAAAAACTTTTTTTTAGTTGCTCTGCTATTAATTCTTGTGCAGGCACTTCAACACAGTTGTCATTGTTCAATTGTCCTCTCATTCTTCATAGGCTCATTTTTAATCTATGTTCATACATGTTAAGTAAATTGCACAAAAAGTCTTGACTGTATAAAAGGGAGGGAAAAAACCCATCATTAATGTATTAAAAATACTTTAGTGTACTAATATTTTAGAATTTATTTTTATTTTCTTCAATTAAAATTTAGTTTGCTTTGAAATTTTCAAGCTGAACTGTAGTGAATTCAGACTGATTGAAGCCAGATTATGCAAAGTGGTGTTGTATAGTAATTTGAATGCAATATGCAGTTTTGCTCTTTTTGTTTTCTTTGCTTTGTTATATGAGTAAACTGTGATTTTTTTAATGCCTTACTCATTAAAGCAGTGTAATTTTTTTTTCTGATTGTATGAAAATTATATTGCAATTTACAATATTCTACATATGAAACATGCCAAT